TTCTGGAATTCCTTAACTCAAGTGATCTTCCCACCTCAGCCTCCCAGAGTGCTAGGATCACAGGCATAAGCCAGTACATTAGGCTATTATAGATCTTTATATTCATTGATCAGACATTTTCTTCATTCAAGTTAGTTTATGTTAATCATTCATTCTCCAATTTGGACATTAACTTTGTTTCTCTAGGATTTTGCTTTTATAAATGATACTGTGATAAACTGGTTTCATAAAGAAAAATGTTCACATGAAGTAATTTGTGTTGCCTTGATCGTTAATCACAATGGTGCCTTTTCCAAATGTAAAATGTCTATTCTTAGCCATTCAAAGCTTCCAACTGTTTTCTTAAAGGTTTGGATAATCACTTCTTAAAATAAGGATGCTAATCTGTTTTCTAACAAGTTACTTTGCTAAAATGTTTCTGTTTCTGCTCATCTGTGGAGGGTAGATTCATAGCAACTTTAAAAATTATTCTTTTGTCAAATTTTAACAAATGTTATTAATCATATTTTACATGGAAACAATTATTTAAAATTTAACCTTGATAGTTGTTTGCCAGTTCTTTTATTTATCTCTACTGACTGTTCTGTGATTATTATCTCAAAAATTTTCCTTATTTCTCTAAAACCTACTGCCAGTGTTCTGCCTCCCTCTTCTCCCCCATAGCCATTCATATTAGCAACTTTGCTGCATTTACAAACTAACCCTTTCTCTTCTCCCCAAAGTCAGTAGTTTGCATCTAGAGTCCAGGCTCAAGATGTCACTCCTATTTGTGACATGCCATTCTTGCAGCAGAGAGTAAAGAAAAAGGGAGGGGGTGTTAACTCACATTGCTTCTTTAATGTACTGTATAGAAGTGGCAAATGTGATTTCTGTCTTTGTTTTTTTGAAAAAAAACATGTGATGTAATCAACCCCACTTTAATTGCATAGAATGAATGCTTCTCCCACAAAGGGTACTACAGGTCCTACAGCCAGCCAAAATTATATGGAAGGGGCAAGTATTATTGGTCAATAGTAATACAAGCTTCACCATGTTCTTCCTTATGTTTAACTTTATGTTTAGACTTTCTTGTAGATATTTTCATTACTGGCATCTATTTTGAAGCCTCTTTGTTAGTCTTCCTTTATTCCTAAATACAGTTCTTTCTTTTGTAAAAATGAGTCATTTTATCTATGATGTTGAGCCTACATGAATGTAAATTCAGCAAGGACATAGGTTATTGCTTGCTTTGTTCAGTAATTCCTTACTGGCAGAATGCTTTGCTCATGGTATACTTTTAACATGTATTTATTGAGTATATTTCATTCTCTCTTCTTTGATTTCTGTCAGGTATTCTTGTTTTATGTATCTTCACTTACTCTTAATTTTTCCATTAGTTCTATCCTTATAGTCTCTTTTAACTATACTTACTTGAATTGTTATAATGAATTACAGTTAGGTACTTAACAAATTATGCTAAATAATTCTATTTAATGAAGAGAATAAAAGTATACTAATTTTTAGTTTCTCTGGAAAAAATAGCCTACATATTTCTGCCTATAAATAGTGCTCATTTCCTTATCATTAAAAAAACAAAGGCCTCCCTTTGACTTTTGCAATCTGACTTCTCACTATTTCTCTAAAACTATTATTTTTTTTTTTTTT